TAATTACGGTACCATGTTTGAGGTATGCATTTCATGTCATGTATCCGCTCGGAATGGTCGCCGGTCCATTCTGGGTTCTAGTGGCCTTAGTCTGCCCACTAGAGTGTGCACTTGGTGTCCGACATTTTTATGCTGGCAGATGAGGTAACGGTCATGGTTCACTTTCACGTGATGATATCAGGTTCATGTTCATGTTATTACCGGTTTCATGTTCAGGTTATGTATATACCAGGATCATTATATTGTTATTATATTCACTGTTTACTTTAGTATGAGTTTCCACGGAGCACAGTTTTATAGTGCTCACGACCCACTTTTATCATGTTTTTCAGGTCAGGATGTCGGGCCAGGGGTGTGAGATGACGGATGATTCAGGACTTTTATGCTTGTGACTGTATATATTTTGATGATACTACGTTTCTGCTGATTTTTTATGTTTTGACGAACTTATCTTTTGATCAAACTTTCAGATAATTGATGTTTTCAGTAAACCGTAGATTTTTCTAAAAGTAAAATAACGGTTTTTCAGAATAAGTTACGTTTTACGGTAGCACCCCGAATCAGTTTTTCGCAAATTAAAAGATTTTATTTTTAAAAGACTTTGCGAAATTACGCACTCTGATTTTACGATAAGGCGGGGTGTTACACATACATTTTTGGAGAGTTGGTAAATAATAATTTTTAGAAAATTCTTGTTCTTTGACTAAATTAATAAATTAAAAAAAACTATTAGGTGCAAAAAAAGCGGTGCGTAACATTATTCGAAATGTGTTCACATATTGATACATTTATGCGAGTTTTATATGGATATGCGATTCGTAACTATGCGAAAACATAATGCATAAGCGATAGTTATAAGCCTTATAGATTTAGATATGCGAATCATAAATTATGCGAACATATGCCGCATAGTCGCATACTCATAAATGATGCAGTTTGGATATGCGATAATCTAATTACGCTACAATTTTCCACATATCCTAAATGATGATGCGGTTGATCTGGCCTGGATATGCGATTAAAAAATATAAATTACTTTTATTTATTTTTTTTCATTACGTTATGCGAGAACAATGCGATCATCGCACTTTGTTCACATTTCTGCGAATTTCCTTTCAACAATATTTTCTCTTCGAATATTATCGCTGATTTTGCTGGGAAAACTCTGTTCACGGACATTAATAGTTTAATTGTCCATGCAACATATTGTTTTGTTTTGACATATGAATCATGATTAAACAAACACGTACTTGACAGAAGAAAAAAAATATTTATTATTACTGCAGTCAGTCCAACAAAATAAGCCAAACAACTTTTGATTACATGTCCAGTGGATTCTAAGGGTCGAGACCGATGACATCCAAGTCTATCGCCGCTGCGTTGCGCTCGGTAAAAACCTCGTAACGCTCACCATACCAAGGGAATCCTTCCGAACGAAACAATGCCTGAGTGTCGGTCTCCTGTGTAATAAATTTGAATCTTTTTAGGTTATTATGGCCGCGTCACAAAAATGCATGCTTGAACAAACTAAAATAAAAAATCAAATGCAATTTACCTCCTCCCCCACATACACCCAGTACATGTGGTTAACCCTAGCAAAGCCTGTATCACAACACAAGAGGATGCCTGGAATCATTAGGAAAGCAGTAAATTCATCGAAATAATTTCTGAGTCGCTGAATCTTTCGCCGGACTTGATAAATAGTAAACTCCCTCTTAAATGCATAACTCAGGCATTGGTTCAGGACTATTGAAATTTCTGCCCACAAGGAATTGAACACATGGCCTTGTGTATGTCTGCCTTCTGACGACACCATTTGAAAAATACTTGGTAGCAAATACGTTCCGCCTCCTCCGTCTAGTCCATGCCACGGAAGCGGATCGCGATCTTTTCGTAGGGTGAAATCCTTTCCATTTATTTTTTTTCGCAAACGTGCGCCTTCTTGTTTTTTTTTTCTTTTTGTTTTTTTGACTGCGATGGAAAGATAGGATTTTGAGAAGTGAAAGGTTGCCTCTTCAACAAAGAGAATGAAAGGTTAATGAATACATTTAGCATTTAAAGCTAGATAGATATACATCAATTCAACAACTAAATGAGGAAGCATGCAAATCGTCATTGTTTTTTAGGTGTAAAAGACAATCAATTAACGCAGTGCGTAACTTATGCGAACAATATGCGAAGCATTTTCGATTTGGATATGCGGTGCAGACAATCAATCAATGCGGTGCGTAACGTATGCAAATAATATACAAAGCACTTTCGATTTTTATATGCGGTGCATACAATCAATCAATGCGGTCCATATGGATATACGAAAAAAATGACAGATAGTTGTAAATTATGCGGCTTTCGATTTGGATATACGATTCGTTAATTATGCGGTTGAAGACTAGGTGAATCATCCCAGTTGTGCGATTATTATGGGATATGATATGAGAATCGCACAATCAACCCAATTGTGCGATTATTATGGGACATGTTATGCGAATCGCACAATGAACCTAATTGTGCGATTATTATGTTTCATGTTATGCGAATCGCACAATCAACCTAATTGTGCGATGATTATGCGACATGTTATGCGAAACGCGCAATCAACTCAATTGTGCGATTATTATGGGACATGTGTGATATGTGCAGGTCAACCAAATTCCGATTTTGACAATTGTGTTTGGATTACGGACATTTGCTTCTGATTAACCTCTTTGTCTTCGTTGCCTGTGTCACCATTGTGCGTGTTGGTTTGGTCATCATTATTGTCATCGTCACGAGAATGACCTGGCTGGTTCGAACAACCCGAGGTTTGATCATCAGCGCCCCGAGGATATCCAGTATATGTAAATGAACTAGGGTCTGCTTGATGTGAATATGGGGCCTTGTGGGAAAATGCAGAACTACCAACACCAAAAGAACTCGAAAATACACCTTGGGACGCCATCATTTGCGTGAAGCTTTGTTGCGTCGTCCCCGAAATCCATACATTTACTCGCTTCTCCAACTCCACGTAAATGTTGGGATTTCTTTGTTCTTCAATCAGCTCTAAGATATCCTCACTGGATTCGATTTTCATCTTCACAACTCGTTCTCTTCCATCATATACTGCCCACAATATGTACTCAAAATTACAATGATCGGCATTTAATAATGCTTGAGCACGAGAAACTACTTCAGAATATATTTGTTGTCCGTAATTTATTCCTATCAGCCCTGCCACTCCACCAAGATATGAACCCTCGCAAAACGAACCACTAAAGTGCACCAATACTCTAACACGGTTGCTAGCCATTCAAATAAGTGAACAACAAAAAGAACTAAAAAAAATAAACAGAAAAATACAGTAGATGAATGGTGCAGGCGTTAAATTGTTAGAGATTGCTGTTTTTTTTCCTGCATGATAAATGCAGAGACCAAATCCTCACCTGTGAAAAAGCAGTCAATTAATGAGGTGCGCAACTTATGCGAAAGATCTGCGAACGAATTTCGAATAGTCGTAAAATTGCCAGGTCGATATGGCCCTGCGAAAAAATGGCGCATAATCGTCAAAAAAATATGCTTTATTCGATTTGGTTATGCGATTCTTAAATATGCGAGCGAAAAAATGTCACATAATTGTCAATTATCCGGACGATATATGCGAAATTGTTTCGCATATTAGTAAATTATGCGATTGACTTGGATATGCAATTACCAGAAAATGCGTATTCAACAAACTATGCGAATCAGATGCGAAATATTTTCGCAGTCATAAAATTTGCAAGGTTGATATAGCCCTGCGATAAGAAGGCGCATAATCATCGTAAATTATGCTGCAATCGATTTGTATATGCGATTATTAAAAATGCAAAAGATGTTCACACATTTCTAAATTATGCGTTTCATGTGGATATGCGATTAAAAATGCGAAATGTTTACGCATTGTCATAAATTATGTAATAACCCGACTTCTTGTTAATATAAATGATGTATTATCCTTTATTAATTCTGTTCATTTTCAGCTATTACATTCGACATTAAGTCGAAAAGTTTATCCGGTTAATTATTAACCGAGTCAAATTCGATAATTAATTTCCGAACCGCTTATTTTATAAACGGACATTATTAATCGGGATTAATTATTGAGAATGTATCTAAGTTCAAGGTTAAAAATCAAGCTAAGTTGTGAGCGAGCACAAGGTACGTCATGTACATACGCGTACGCGCACGCCGCACGCACCCGTACGCGAGGCCACGCACACGAACGCGCACAGCGTACATCGCCCCGCGCAGCGCATACGCGTGCACTTTTAGGCGCTAAGCACTCACTTATACTCCCCTAAGCGCTATGATCATGATTAAGTAAGCTAAGTCTTAATCTTCCAAATTGCCGTGAGGAAAATTAAAAGGATGAGTTTGGGTTAAAAGTTGTAGTGATGAGTCACCTAGGT